ATATTTGTCTAACTTAAGACTCTAGAATGTAATGATGTGATTGTCAAGTCTTTCCAATTGAATAAAGAAAGTAAAAAAATTTAGATTGGGACAACAACATCACCAAAATCCAAATATAAACATGAATAAGAGTAACTAGAAGCTTGAACAAAAAAAAATATTAAAATCAATAAATATGTTTAAAATTTTCTTTCTTTTTGAAACTACCCTTAAATTAATGATATATTTAATATATGTTTTCAAAAATTTTACATTTCAAAAATTAAATGAGACTATTTATTCTCTACTCGAATAAATTTTATTTATTTTTTAATTCAAAAAATATATTTAATAAAAATACTTTTTAAAGAATAAATTAATGATTGAGATATAATGGATTCAGTTTTATAATAAAGATCAAACTAATTTAAAGATTTGGATCTATAATAAGGACCATAATGAGTATTATGTTCCTTAAATTTATAGAATTAAAAGTAAAATTTATTAGAAAATAATTGAGACGTACATCATTTTATGTCTCAATAAATTTTAACTAAAAATAAAAACATAAAAATCATGGTGCTATATATATATTATCCCCCATGTTATTTCAATATATTTGAAAAGTTTTACTCCGTGAAATTTATTTCGTGCACGCATGAACACAGGATATGGAGAAAATAAGAATGTTTTTGGGACAATTCTATTATCCACGTATTTTCAAGCAACCTTTAAAAGACATGCTGTAACTTCATTAGTAACCCTTTGAATTACAAGTCAAAAGGTGAATGCAAGAAAGTGAACATATTCTTAGAAGTTACAAGTATTGGAGAAACTTTGGAGGTTGAAATAATGTTGCCGACATGGCACGTATGAATCAAATAAATTCTGGACAAGTGGAAGGGGTCATTGTTGTTGTCCATCTTTCTTATTTGTTTGCTACCAATGCTCTTTAATTTCTTTCTCACTCGACGGTCCACATCTCATTCCTCAACTTGCCAAAACAAATTTTCAGTGTAGGATAGATATATAATTCACTTTTTTTTAATTTGTTTTCGAAAGTTCCATTTCTAATCGTGTGAATAGAAAAGATTCCCATACTTTGATAAATTTAGCATGTGACTCTAGGCCGAAAGATATGGTGGACAACCCAAAAATACTTGTTTCTTTATGCACTTCACCTTACCTTTTATTTCACTCAAGTAATTAATATCTTCACCAAAGTCTTACTAAAAATTTTTACAAGTATTTCCTCCAGTTAAAGTATTTTATTTTGGTTGATTACCAAGTAGTATTCTCTTTAAACCAAGAAACTAATCTCCCTCAAAAAAATTTGACAGGCATCATGTACATTACCTTCTGTCTTGAACTCAGTTAGAGTATGCTAATTAAGTTGCTAACCTTTCTTTTATAAAGCATGCATGTGGAATGACGTGTTACATGTTCATGTGATCAATAATCGCTCATTATTTGTTTTATTTGTTTGTGAGGCGAGGAGTTTAACAGAAGCCCAAAACATTATAATTCGATTCTTTGCTAGAAATCTGTTGCTATATATAAATTGAAAATGCGCTACAAGAACAAGGGCTTAAATTTTTTCTCAACTGTTATTTTTATCTTTTGTTAATAAAAGAGGTCAATGAAGTATATTATCTCATGCAAAAAAAGTAACTGTTGACTGATAATATATACCTAATTGTCATATTTCCACTACACCTAACATCGGTTAATTATTAATAATTTTATAGCATTATATCTGGGTTGTGTTCAGGTAAGTCAGCGGATTATTCGGACTTAAAATGCTATCAAGGCATAATGATACACATTATGTAATGCTCGGGAATTTGTTGGCATTAATCTCCTAGTTTATAATAAGATTATTAGGCTCAAAATGGTGCTTGATGTATGTTGAAGCCAATAAAAACAATGTGTTGTAAACAAAAACAAGCTATACGAAGTTTAAGCTTAACTGGAACACTTGATGTTTTTTAATCACGTTTTATTATTATATAATTAAATAGTACACTTATTTAGTTTGAATCCGTCTTTTCAGTCAAAGCAAGGCTGGAAGAGAAAATGTTTGGGAGAGAGGGATATAAAGAAATCATTAACGTGTTGCGTCTTAAAAAAATGAAATTGTACTCTTTAATTAGTTTGAATTGGTCTGGCTAGCTAATTTTGAGTCAAAGCATTGTTTGTGGCTTTGTTGAAGTCAATTTCCACCCACATGCATGCTTGTTAAAGTGAACACACTAGCGTTAGTGACTGTTGGTCATTTGATTTTGGGCTGGTCAAAGTCGATGAATACCAACTTCAAATTCTTCTATGTGATATTTTTTTTATTTAAAGAATTATAACTTAATTATGTGGTAGTATCCCTTATAGTGTGTTTGGATGATGAATTTTACAAATTCAAGGAATTTTAAATTCTTGGTATTTGAATTACTTTGATTTCAATTTCTATTATTCTTAAAATATTTTGTTTGGATGAGTCAATTCAAATTTCTTAAATTTTAAATTGTTAGGTTGAATATGATAATTTTATTCCATCATAGTAAAATTGATTTTAAAAATATATTTATATGTTGAGATTTTTAAATTAAATTTTATAAAAATAAATATTAATCCATTTTTAAATATTTATTAATTTTAAAAATTAATATTAGATAATATTTAATAATTTTAAAAATTAATATAAGATAATATTTAATAATTTTAAAAATATTTTTGAATATCCAATAATTAAAAGAATGAAGAGATAAGATAAAATATATAGGTGAAATAAGAAAAACAAATATGAGGAATTTCAAATTCTCCCATTTTTGGGAGAATTTGAAATTCTACTATTTTAAGGAATTTCACAAATGATTGGATTTCAAATTTTTTGTAAATTCCTCATCCAAACAAAGCATTTCACCTCAAAGAATTTGAAATTCTTCAAATAAATGAATTGCCCCATATAAATTCCTCATCCAAACACACCATTACGGTTTTAGGTGTGAAAGAAGGTCAAATACGTGCTGTGTGTATGAAAATAGGTTTGCGTAAGCGATCTCAGTACGCACATTAAATATCCTTTGTATCGCAATTCTTGGACAATGTTAAAAATTCCACCACACTGTTTATGATTTCGATTGAAGTTTTTGAGTGCTAGAATAATTATTAAAAATATAAACTTGCATATAGTAGAGGAGGGTAAATAATTATTATCGAGAACTAAATTCTGACCAAATTTAACTCATCTACGAGTTTCAACATTATTTATTTGAGAAGAATTTTGGGGGAGAGAAGCAGGTGAGAAACAAATGCTAGAGAGAAATATATATATTTTTTGAGAAAAGAGAGAAGTAGGAGAAGAGGAAAAAAAATAAATTAGTGAGACTGGTTAAAAGAAAAAACTCCTCCAAAGTAACGAGATTTATAGAGGAAAAGTGTAAAATCCAATGACCCATTAAACAAAGTGAAAATGATGAATTTAGCCTTTGTTTTGTATTATGTAAATATATTATTAAGGATAAATATATCTTTTGAATATACAAACATTTTTTTTCTCTATATCTCTTGATCCAAAGCATTAGTATCCTGAATAGTGAATATGCATTATTTCTTTGTCTATGGTACTGGAAACACAAAAATCTCGACTAAAATGAGTGTAATGATAAGCAGTCCTTCAATGAGAAAGAAAGCAAAATTGCAGATAATGGAAGAGATGCGTGTTGGGAGCAATAGTTGACTACTAGTACAGTACAGATACCTTGATCCAAACGAAGCTTGAAACATTAGATACTTTTCATGGGTTGGGTTGGGCGCGCAAGAGCTGACTCAGACAAATCAACAAAGCCCAAAATGAACCAACCTGTTCCAGCACACTTTTAAAAGACCCAAGTTGCTTACTTAGAGGTTGAAGTTAAGACTAGTTTATATTTTACAAAAAATTATAATAATCACAATTTAATTCTCTTTTTTCGTTGCTGTTTTAATTGTTGGCATGGTTGGGAAGCATACCTTGCACAGATACAAGGCTTCAATTGTCGTTAAAGTAATTGATTTTATTTTATGAATATGAAAGTAGTTTTTAATTAATTGCTAACAATATTATCAAACTTTACACTATAAAAGAGATATAAGGAGAAATTTTATATGTGAACAATTCTTTTCTCTATAATTTTTTGGACATTATTTATGAGGTTTGCATGTGTTTGACTTTGGATGCACGACTTTAAACACTTCTATATAAATTTTAGAGAACAAAATCAATTATTAAATTACATCAGAGGTCTACTAAAAAAATTGGTTTAGAACAATAAATCTTTGCACAATACAACTTTTATTCAACTATCTTTCCTACACATACATCCTCCTATAATTAAGCGGACAATACTTCCAACTTACTAACGTTGGAACAATAGCCATAACTAAATCACTAATCGACCCATTTAATTAAGAAAAGCTCGAATAGCAAAGATGGTAGCTAAGTGGGTAACCTGGACGCACTTACACTAATTACTTGAGCCTGATCACCCCAATTCAGAAGTTCTGCTAGGAGTAAGGAATTAAGATATCCAGCTTTTAGCATTTAAAAAAAAAAAAAACACATTAAAGAAGCTTGCAGAAAAGTCGACATGATCTACCAAATAAGATAGTTGAAACTAACGTGAGTAGAGTCACCGAAAAATTACTAATCCATTTTTTTCTTTCTTTCCTTCTAGACACTTTGTTTAATGGGTGCTACACAAGTTTAGACACTCATTTATGTCACTCACTGTGCATAGCAATAGGTATCTTCACATGGCTGTGGACCCACTTAGGTTGCAGAATAACAGAGCAACTGCCACCGTTTCTAAATTGTAGTTTTAGGTAAATCAAATTGAATATTTGTGCAGCAAAAGGTAAGAAATTTATTTATCATGCTTTATTCGGCAAAGGTATGGAAAAGCTTCAGAGTACGTTGTACAATAAAACTCACTGATGTTTGGCTATATAAATCAGTAGGGTTATGTATGAATCAAGCAGAATTGATGTAACGTGAAAAACTGGACACGAAATTGTGTCTCACATTGTATACATGGATGGGTTATTCCTATCTGGTATATTCATCAAAAGGTACAGATGGCTAGTGATTCAACCAGGTATATATCTTTTTACGATGATTTATGAAATGATTGTCATTGTGCATAGCAATAGGCATCTTCCAGAATCCTCGACATGACTGTGTTGTAGGAGAAAAGCAGACCCATAAGCCATTTTTTCCTTCCTTTCTTTCTATCTAATGCGGCCTTGCCTCATAGGGATGTTGCAAGCCTTTAACATTCAATAACTTTCCGTACGCAATAACGATGTACGTTTAGCCGAAACCTATGAAAATTAATCTTCCACTTCCAATAAAAAAACAGTTATTGTGGAGTAAAAGGTGAAGGCAATCCCTTGGCATGCTGACTCTCCAGCTCGAGAAGCATCAACGATTTCTGCCTCTGATAGCGGTTTCTCTTGGCAGCTAATGCTGCAAAAGAAGCCATAAAACAGTCTCACAATTAGCACAGGATTAAAATATCCAAAGTCCGCTCATAAAACTTTTTAATTTAAAAATCCATATAAAACCGAATATCTCATTATTTGCTGGAATTTAAGCAGCTCAAATTAAACACATACTAGATGGAAAATTCAATGAGAGGATCCATTTCTATGAAAGACAACAAAGTTATGGCAGGTTGTAGTTGATAAATACACGTTACCGGGAATAAATGGAATATTATAAACAAAAATACGCCCGCAAAAACAGAATCTCATTGAAATCATACTTACACATTAATTCCTGAGGCAGAGCAAAATCATAATCGTTCCTTTTCCTCCTGATGTAGATATACGCCAGCAGCAGTACCACGCAGAAAACAAAAAGAGATGACAAGCCTATTGCAATTTTACCCCGAGTGGATAATCTACCATGCTCCCAAAACATAGGACATGATGGCAGAGTTGGTACACCGCATAATCCCTTGTTGCCAGAGAGACTGAATAAAAATTGAATATATAAGAGATTACTTCTCATTGGATTAATAAATGCAACAAGTAAACTTTATTTTTGCATCTATGATCCTGGGTATGCGGCAATTTAATTTAGGTGCTCACGCACATTGACACACAATGATATATATACAAGAAACAGAAATATAAAATTGTTATATATACAAGCTAAGTTATCCAGCATTTCAATCTGAACACAACATTATGCAGAACCAAATAGAGTAGAGGCTGTAGAGCTAGCAGATTAAAGTGACATACTCAATAGCTCCACCATGCACACCAACGGAATAAAGTTGCTCTGGAACTCGTCCTTCCAATAAGTTACCATTCAATAGCCTGACATAATTAAATAGATTAGAAAAACAGACAGAACTATGTAGTATAACTAGTCCAAAGAATAAAAGAGACAACCAGTTAAGACTGCACTAGAGATCAATTGTTATCTACCATTACCATCCTAAACATAAAGGAAAACAAGGTTGTTGAAGTGAGCATTGAGATATCAGATTGACGAATGAAAGAACACAAGATACCGGAAAAATATAGAGTAATTTATAATACGATTTTGGGAATTAATTCAATTAAATAAATGGCTAGAAAAGATTGTTTGATATCAAATTACAAAACTTCGTTACAGCAATGACATATTTTTCATCGAAGCACGCAGCATTATAGCATCCCCGTTTCTGACAGAAATGTATATTTAAATTGAGGGAAAATAGGTGCTAAAACTAGAGGAAGGACTATACGGCTTACAAAACAGCGAAAGAAGAGAACATGGATTACACAACCTACATTTTGTCACGATACTAATGATGTAAGCAGTTAGTTATAGACAGTCGAATTAATTAATGCACTGGATACTTACACAAGCTTCAAATTGGAAGATGCCAAACTATCAGGTATAGATCCCATTAACTGATTGTTGGATAAATCCCTACAGAAAATATTACAAAGAAAATAAATAGAATTTCAATATTATGGTAATAACAAGATGCTTCCAGTAAGTTTTGAACCCTTTCACTGTAGGTGAAGTCTGCCCAGAGTTTGTTTACGAATTGAGCCACACTTCATGGTTAAGTTATTTTTAATATAGGTGATATGGATGCATCATAATATTATCACAAATGACTTCAGATTTTTAAATGGTGTGCCTTTTAAGCAATCAAAACCAAAGCATCGTGCAAGAAAAACATATAGACTCTAATTATATACTGTGTTCAGTATACGATGATAAAAGTATATGACTTTTAAAAGGGTAAAGATAATGGAAACTGATAACCAAATAATAAAATATAAACTCCAGTTGAGTTGAGTTGAGTTCCGTAAAACATTTGGATAACATCTAAAAGTAGTACAAGTCTGCGAGAAATTGTAACTAACAGAGATAATAACTGATCTTACACTTGTATCAGGGATTTTTGAGTTTGACCTAGGCCTGGTGGTATTTCACCCGTCAAGGAATTAGAACTCAAATTCCTGTAAAATTAAAGAGACATTACCAATAACTGAAACCAGTATGAACATGAGCAACATTAATCTAGGAAAACACATCACACATGCTGCATGCAACAGAAGACGGATATGGCAAAGGGATACAAAATTGTTGCCAACATTTAAACACTAAACAGAGAGCAACAGTTAACTATAAATAATGAATGTGGATATAATGCTGAGGCCTGCACTAGAATATGTGAGAAAATCTAATTCCATCATCAAGTACAATGAACAAATTTACAAAAAAAAAAAAAAAAAAAAAAAAAAAACA